CATTGGAAATCGTAGTTGATCGAGTTGTCTGAACACAATAGATTGTCCAAAAACGCAAACTGAAAGGATGCCAACGTATCATACAAAGAATTCACAACCTATAGAGTACTAAACTCGAATTCATAAACATGAGTTTTAAGAATCTCGAGCCATTATCATCTCGGATCGAACGATCTCACTCCTTAGAAGTATACACGGGTTGTCTCATCATAGGCTCTCACGAGAATATGATACATAGCTTTGAAGTCTAATTTGATCATCAAACTTAATCAAAAATTGGTTAAGGAAGATCATTTTGAAGATTAGGAGAAAGATTTTATCAAATCATAGAAGATCAACATTCGACTAACTCATTTAAATACATCTAATCCATACAAATTCGAGTTGAATGAATCCAACGGGGTACTGGAGGTATTTATACAAATTCGTGACAAATTCGAGTTGAATGAGATTTTAGAATTTAAAGGAACATAATCTCGGACTAACAATCCCCTTTTTAACAAACACTCAAATCACCACAATAACAACTCTTGTAAGAGACTGACCTAGATCTTTCGGAATAACCACGACTGGTTGCCACCAAGAGATATTCGAATGAGGAATATTATTCTTGAAATTAAGGGCATCCATTTAGTAAGGCTAGATGGAATTCTCTTTTCAAAGCAAGTAAAAGGTCAGTTGGGTCGATTATAGAAATCATTTGAGAATTACGGGTAAGAAATTACCAAAAATAAGAAGGCTTCCACTTATTAAATATGTGAAAATGCCTAATTGAGCGTTCTAAATTTAGAACTTACATAAACATCATAGATGGAATCATACATTACCATGACAAGATCAGCGCGAAATATTTGATCTAATAAAAATTACGAGAAATCTTATCATAACGCTATACCTATGAGATACAACTAGGAACATTTAATTAATAGGAGTTAAAGGGAGAATGAACTCTTAACATATACATCTAATCAACATGCTTTTATAAGTTATCGACTCTAAGGATTAAAAGTCAACTTCCTTTCATACTAGTTCGATCAACTAGATACGAACCATAGGGGACCCTAAAACTCATTCTTCTAGATTTTCATGTTGACATAGATATTTCACCTTCGTTGTGCACTCTGATATTTAATACTATATGAGGAATAACTTACATTCTCATTTACATCTAGAATTTTGATCAAAAAGAAGTTATCAAGATCGACTCCTCTTAGAAATCGCTTACTGCTACGTCGAAGTTTCAGTTATGTGTATCTCCTATCGCTTGAGTACTATCTTCTTGTTTCGATCTCAGGATATAATTTGCATTGATTTTTGACTTAGCATAATTATTCACTAACTTGCGAAAGTTATCATAGCTTATTCTATAGACAAGATAGGTCCATCACCTGAACCTTTCCACACATATTTTGATGTCTGATATGTCACACTCAATAAGAATCATACTCTTAATTCCATCATCTAAAAATGTTATCGGATTAATATTTTATTCAACTTATTAAACCAAGCTAACATATTAACTTACTCATCATTGATGGATGAACGACATCAGAGTCTCAGTTTACGAGAATACTTTGAAACCTTTGAGGGCATGTAGGGATCGACTAGGTTAACCTAGAACTGACTAAACTCTAGCTTTGACACTACTAAATATAACAACCTAAACTAGACTTGGAGATCTGATCTGAATCGACAATGTCACATTGGACCACCAAAGTGATCCTACAAATCAAGACTCATAAAAGTATAATTTACTTACAAGTTAAAACCAATTGAAGACACTAGTTTTTTCATCCATTTGTTTTTTTTTTGTTTTTATTATTATTAATATTAATATTAATATTATAATATTATATTATTATTATTATTATTATTATTTTGTTATTATTATTAAATAATAATTTACAAATAATATTTCAGGCCCAAACTGGAGCCCAATTACAAATGGATACCCAGAAGCCCAACCTGAACCGTCCCAATAGTAACCCTAAAACCCAACTAGGGTTTCATCATCTCAGCCCCAGCCGCCATCAACCATTCACCGTTGGATCTAGTGAGATCTAACGGTCCACAGAGGCGCCAGAAGGAACCCTAGGGTTATGATGCCATAGGGACTACGCCGGTCGTCGTCGCTCCAAGTCTCAGCCAGCTATTGTACTCCCAGCCGTTTCAACAGGAATCAAGGGAGACCGTCCACGTTATGGCCTTAGGTGACTCACCGAATGATGGTTTATTACTCGGTCCGAGGTAAGCACCGTGATGGCCTATAAAGCCACCACCGAATCTGCAAAATAAAGAGGACATACAGCAACAACAAGGCAACACAACAACCAAATACCACCAAATATTAAACAAAAAGAGAGAGAGAGTTTACCGACAAAATCGCACGGTAACCGGAGCTTCCACGCACCTTTACGCATCACCGACAAATCGAAATACCAAAGGTATTTCTTTAGATCTAGGAGAATCCTAGGCTTTTTAGGGAAAATGAGAGTTGGATTCGGTCTTAGATCATTCGGATCTATCTTTTGGTGTATTTTTTTTTTCCGGCCACCGGTGGTGGAGTTGACGACGACATGTGGCTGTCAGCCGGTGAACGGATTCCCTCCGATGAGGGAATCCTAGAGAGAAGGGAGAGAGATTTATAATCTCTTGTCTAGAGAGAGAAATAGAAAGGAAAGAAATGAGAAAAATGGCCCTTAAGGGTGACCATTTAGGGTTTATGTACCCCTTCCCAAATGATGTCGTTTTGGGAAGGGGTATATGCGTAATTTTGAAAAATGGGTAAATTATAGTTGCAATCATTTATGTTTTGTAACTTTGCATTATAGTCACTTAAATCAAATTATGAGCATTTTAATTTGATCTTTTAATTTTATTTGATTTATAATTTAGTCCCTGCTATGTTTTATATATTTTTAGGTAAAATAACTGATTTAGCCACTATAATTTTAATAATTAATATTTTAATCCTGAAATAATTTATTAGGTTAAATTACACTATTAACCATTATTTCTCATAATATTTCGAATTAGTATCCATAATTTCAATATTTTATATTTTTAGTCCTATAATTTTATTTGTTTTGATCATTATTCAATTGTAATTTATTTTTATTATTACCTTTATATGTTTAATATATTTAATTTAACAATTATTTTATTTTAGTCATAAATATATATATTAAATAATAATATATTTATTTTTTAATATTAAGAAATGGGTTGTCTTAAAGCAACTAGATGTTCTTTTCTGATATTTTTAAATAAATAAATATCCTACTTTTATAAATTATATATTGATTTAATTTTATTATTTTTTTATTATTTTTAGGAAATGTTTTATTAATATTTATTTAGTTTTTAATATTAAGAAATAGGTTTTCTTAAAGCAACTAGATGTCATTTTCTGATATTTCTAAGTAAATAAATATCTTATTTATAAAAACCTGATATATATATATATATATATATATATATTAAAAATATAAAATTTAATATATTTTCTTGGAATTATACTAATAATAAATTTGAAATAACAGGATTATGAATTAAATATATTTTTGAATTCTTAAATTTCCAATAATAGAGACAATTTATAATTAATGGGTACCAATTTTGGGTGTTATAGGGGTGCTAATTCTTCCTTACACGTAACCGACCACGAATCCATTTTATTACTAAAAAAGGAAATTTTGGTTATATGCAGACTTGTTTATGTTTTAAATCATGTTTGCCTAAAAACTCTTTTAAAAGATTATTTTTAGGTATTCGACCTACCTAACCCAAAAAGGTCGATGGCGACTCCCAAAACATTTTTAAAATAAAAACTATTTATTTATTCACTTTACTTTTCCCGCCAAGTAAAAATTCGTGCCCGGACGAAAACCGGTTATGACAGCTTGGCGACTCCGTTGGGGATTTTTTCTGGTCAAACCTAAATTAATTATAAATTTTCTCTATCAATTAGAAATTGAGAATTAATATTTATTTAATTTATATTTTTTTCCTTTCAAATTCTTTATTATTTATTATTTTTAAATTATTTTTATATATCCTAATATACTAATATTTTTTTTATTTTTTTAGATTCATATATTAACTTCATTTTTTATTGGTTATTTGTCAAAGGTTTGAGAATTTCTCCTCACACACAATACGTGCATTGCATAAACATAAACTCTATACTTGATCTCTTTTCCCTTTTAAGTGGGAGTGAAAGCGACGTCTTCGTAAGAATTTATTCTCCGCGTCAGACCTAGCAAGTAGCTTTCGGGGTTCATATGCTCTATGTCTTCGTGAGAATTCACTACAACAAATTTGTTTATTTTTGACATTGAAAATATTGTCATTAAAACTTACGTTCATGTCACTATTTGTATTATGTGACATAAAATCCAATGTCACGGCAATCGTCACCCTAGGAATGTCACTAAATGTCTAACGTGAAGTCGTATGTTTTTATCGTCACGTATTGTTAAACATATAGTGACATTTATGTATAATGTCACTTTATTATTTATATAAAATGAAATTTTGTTATGTCACTAAATAAAATAAAATTATCACCAATCATTTATATTATCACTAATAATAATAAAATTTTACTATATAAATGACAATAAAATATCGTCACAATTTTTTGTTTAAAATTTAAAATTTTAAAATTACCATAAAAATATAAATATTTATATAAATTTCAATAAAAGTCTATTTTTTAAATATCACAATCAATACTAAACTTTTTATAAATTATAATAAATACCAAATTTTTTATAAATTATAATAAATATCAAAACTTTATGTAAATTACAATAAATACCAAAATTTTCTAAAAATTACAATAAACACCAAAACTTTTTATATATTACAATCAAAGGAAAAACTTCTCATAAATTACAGTAATGGCATATACTTATTATAAATTACATTAAAAAGTCTATATTTTACAAATTAAAATAATACCCCATATTTTTTTACAAATTAAAACATAAAGTATCCAAATTTGCCTATGAATGGCTTCGCAACTCTTGCATGAGTTACATCTCCTCTCACACCTTGGCAGCCTTGAACCTATATACGATCTCAATCTTGCCTTCTCTTCATTCACTGTCTATCTAAAGTAATAGGGGAGAAAATTCTCAAAATCCATTGTATTTAATTATAGTACTCAGACAAATAAATATGTTTATTTTAAGTTAACAAAAATGAGAAGATGCTTACATGGGAAAAGCTATCAGATTTTTGATTTGATCCATCTGTAAAAACAAGGTAGGAAACAAGAAAAATACTCCAAAACCAGAACTTAAAAACAGAGAAATACAATGTAAATACAAATAACAAAACAACAAAACTAAACAGAGAAATACAAAGTAAATTTATATACATAGACAAATCTGGATATTGAAAACAAGATATATTGAAAACAAGGTAGGAAGATTCTGGTGAGAAAACTAGCAAGCCTGTCACCTCAATTGTATCAGCATACCTGTTACTCACACCATCTGTGAAGGTGCAACTATTTGTTTATTTTATGCTTAAATAAGCGATGGAAATATTGCTTGCTGAAGCAAGTGTCATCAATGCGTATTACTTTATATGGTCAACCAATAGCGTGGCCATCTTTCTTGTATGTCTTGGCCTAACAGTGCTTCCTGTAAACATAATTGTCGGAACCTACGTCAGCAACATGTTCAAAGAAAGGTAAGTTCAAATATGAAAATATGCATACTAACGGTCCCATTGAGCTCATGTGGACATGATGGTAAAAAATAAGCTCCGAGTTTACCGCGAATGGATGACATACATGCAATTTAAATTTATTGCAGGAAAGTTCTGTTGGCTTCTGAAATCATGGTTTTGGTTGGCATTCTCCTAAGCTTCCATATTGGGATTCCTTACTCTGTGCCTCAGTATGTTGGCTCTGCACTCGTCATTTTTGTACCTGCGAAAGTGCTTGAAGGTGTGAACTTGTCGCTCTTGTCGCATGTAATGTCGTCTAGGCTTTCTCGTGGAACTTACAATGGAGGGCTTCTTTCAACAGAAGCAGGAACCCTAGCTCGCGTGATTGCAGATGGAACTATAACAGTGTCTGGCTACAGTGTCTGGCTACTGGGGTGTGTCTAGGCTCTTGAAAGTTACCTTAGTTCCTTCATTATTCATCTGTATCTCCTCCATTGTTGCCACCTGCGTTACTTACAATTCTCTTTACTAACACTTGTTGTATGTAAATTTCTTTTGCCAATTATAGCACAAGAAGACATTAAAAAAAAAACAAGATATATCCAGACATCAAATCTGCTAGACTGAAAACATACCCACACTAACTCATAGTACTAATTGTTCGTAAATATAAAGCACCAGACAACCACACTTACGGTTTTCAGTAGTAACCACGTGTGCAAAACACCATAAGAAGGCCTTGAAGGTTTACAATTGACACGCCTTGGACTCTTTAACATGTTGTGCACATTATCTTTATAATCATGTGGAAACTGACCATTCTCCCTTGGACTTGGGGACCTCTGCTTGGTTCTGTATTCCTAGTCACCATATGGAGAACGCAGAGAAAGAGACCGTGAAACATTTCTAGATCACCTGGGAGAACGATGTTTATCTTTTGCTTCAGCTGCATCTTCACCATACCGAAACTTCACAAAGCCACATATCATTACTAAGCATAATTAAAAAATATTATTATTATTATTATTATTATTATTTTCTCTAGCCTCAACATTTTATTTTCAGCCCAATTAAGGTTTCTTAAAAAATTTAAAACTAATTTAAAAATATTAAATAAATTTTGAATTTTTAAAAAATTTAAAAGAAAATTAAAAGAAAATATTAATTATTTCTATAAAATTTGAAAAAAATATAAAAAGAATTGTATTTTAATTAAAAATTATTTAAATATTTAAAAATAAAATATCTAAAAATATATAGTCAAGGTTTTCGAACGGGAGATCTACAACACTATGTTTAGTGCTTATTCCCCAAGGGAACCTATATCACTATAAGGTAATAATTCTTACAAGAAGGATTTATGATATCGTAACAAAACAATTCATCTCATAAGATTAATTTTTAATAAAGTTTTAATATTTTTATATTTTTAATAATTTATATTTAAAAAATATTTTTAGTCACACTTAAGACCCCAACTTATAATCTAAATTGTAATCATACAAATTCATTGAAAAAATATTTATAACATATCATAGTAACTCAGACTCCAACTACATTTCTCATAAGAAATTTAAGAGTTTTTTATAGATTTTTTTATAATTTTTATAATTTTATATTTTCTACATATTTTATTTATTAGATATTTTTTAATATTTTAAAAATAATATTGTAAGATTTTATAATTTTTAAAGTAATTATGTAATATTTTATATTAAACAATTTTTTTATTTTAAAATTATTTTTATTGTCGAATAAATTTCAGAATTTTAAAAATTAAATTAATATTTAATATAATTATTAAATATTTTTTTAAAAAATTATACTTTTTAGTTTTTGAATATTATTATAATTTTAATAATATTTAGTATTTTATTTTTAAATTTTTTTTTTGAAATTTATATAAAAATAAATAATTTTTTACAATTTTACATTTTAAAATATTATTTAAAATATTTCCATAATTTTTTATTTTTAAAAAATTTAAATTAAATTTTTAAAAAATCTAGAAATTTATCTCTAAAGTTTGACACATAATTCCCTTTGACGCTGCAACATGACAAATAACCTAAAAAAAGTTAAGACTTAAAGGTTGATCAAAGACCTTAATTAATGTAATTTTATAGTTTGATGGCTTATTTGATTTAATTTCTTAATGAAAAGGCTTACTTGGGTGCAAAAAAAATTTAAGTATTGAAATAATTTTTTTTACATTGTTAGGGTTTTTTTAACCCTTCAAATATATATAAATAAATAATTCTTATATATATAATATTTATAGAGAACACAACTTTGAGAAAATTAATAGAAACAATTGAAATTATAAGTCTAAAATCTAAGACTATTTTAAATTTTTTCACCAATAAAATTTTGAATTAGTGACAAATCCAATATGTCTCTAAAACAATTGTAGGCTATTTTTTTATGTTAATTATTGGCACTAAACATTAATTGACACAACCGTATGATGTATTTCCATATCTTTAAGAAAAAGAGATATAACAATGAGGATCAAATAATCGCTTTTGTCATGTTAAGCTTATTTTGTGAGAAGAATAAAACGTCATTTTTTACTTCATATAAACTATGACGAATCAAACTGTCACAAATAAAATTTATTGGTGACAAATTTGGAATGTCACTAATTCAAATCGAATCGTCATTATAGTAAATCGTCATTAATACTTTCGTTTCATTGGAGACGATTTTACAACGTCACAATTTTATCTAAACGTCATTGAAAGGTTTCCCACCAAATTTTTTGGAGGGAAATTTTGGCGTCAAACAAATATTGACGAAAATCAATGACCAATTTTACAATTGTCATAAAAGATATACAATTAATTACTAAATGTGGCGAAAACAAAAAAAACGTCACTTTTATAATATATTTTGTGATGTTATACGCAACGTCATATAGAAATTATGTCATAAATTGTTAAATTTGTTGTAGTGATTTATTCTACGTGTCAGGCATAGAGAAATGTGTCCCCTCGAATTGAACTCGATCCGCTTAAGTCTATAATAGACTAGGATTGAGGGCCTGGCAGCCTAAGGGGGCACCAACAAGGACAATTCGAGTACCTTTACTTATAGAACCATAATTCTACATATAGTAAACCTTAAGAACCCTCCCGATCTGAAACCATGTTTTTTCCAAAATAGGTGTACACAAAGGAGAAATGAATTCTAACTTTTTCCTTTTAAATCCCTTCTGAATAAATGCATGTGAATTTAGAAATTATGTGAATTAAGGATTATAGTATTATTTAAAGTATGTTATGTAGAAAGCATGTTTAAATAGAAATATTTGAGTAGACATTATTATTTAAATTAAATTTTTTCCTTCCTTATTATTTGAACTAATTCGGCTCATTTTATGTTCTTTCTTTTATTTTCGCTATTTGCATGGCATCATACATGTTTGAAGGTATTGATCTTCGAGTTAATCGTCTCATTGGAAAACATTCATCAATGGATAAAAAATATTCGAATCAAATAGTTCCAAACTCGGAAGTAAGACAGTGGTCTGAAGAATTGCAAAGACAGATAGGAGACAGTTTGCAAGAAGATTATGTACCAGATTTAGCAAATTATGCTCCAGTTTCTCTAAAAAAATAATGATATTCAAGACCTGCGAGGCATTTAGGAGAGTTGGGATTCAAATAAAAAGCTATAGTTCTATCAGTATTACGGGGACATTCCGTATTTGCTTTATGTTGAAGTTGATTATGAATTGCTCCGAGCCTTGATTCAATTCTGGAATCTATGATACAATTGCTTCACTTACAATAAAGAGGGCATGGTTCCTACTATTGAAGAATATACAACCTTGCTACATATGGAATGGGCTTTAGAGAATCAAATTTATTCGAGGTCAATCAAAACTCAACCTTTCAGAGTTAAATTGACAAAGATTGCAGGAGTACGTGAGGAATGGGTGATGGCCCGTACAAAACAAAAAGGTGAGGGTGAAGGCATTGCTTGGACCAATAACAAATAAATCATTAAAAGTCATTCAGATGATAAAATACGATTTGGTCTCTTTGCTCTGGGTATATATGGTATGGTCATCTTACCGAAAGCATTGGGATATATCGAAGTTGCAATAGTAGATTTATTCGAGAAGCTACAAAAAAGGGTCAATCCTGCTTCTGTAATTCTAGCAGAAACCTTTCGATCATTGAGCTCTTGTAGAAGGTTGGGAGGTGGACAATTTTTCGGATGCGCATAATTATTATATTTCTGGATTCGTAGCCATTTTATGAGGACAAAAAAGGTCTCATACCGTTGTTTTAGTATGGACTACTCGCCTTTGAGAGAGTTTCTTGAGCAAGAATGGCAGAAAGAAGTCACGAAAGATATGTGAATAAATGCCCTTCAAAATATGCAAAGCAACGACATCGTTTGACGTGCCCCTTTACAAATACAAAGGGAGTTCCTTTACAAATATGGTGACTACAACTGGATGATGTTGTTAGGCTTATGGGGAGGAATTGGATATGCACCACTTCTAGCTATAATGCAGTACGAGGGTCGTCAATTTATTCCGGTTACTGATGGGTTACATTCATCTGAGTTTGCATTTCATGGCAACAATTACAAAAGAAATATCATGAATATAGTTAAAGCCTGGAAAAAAATTTTATGTATTTGAGCCAAAGCATCGAATGTGATGTTAACCCCTGATTACGAGGAATGAAGGTATATCACAAAAAATGAAAATATTCCTCTACCATACCGAAATGAGGATATCTATATGGTAGATCGTATTCGGGTAGTCCCACCAGAAATAGAAATCCTAAGAGCTGAGTTTGAAGCAGAAAGAGAGGGTTGGTTAAAAGAATTAGAGCAAATATGACGAGATAAAGCTATGTGGGGCGTCGACGTTGACTTTCATGCCGCACAATGTACAATGCTGAGGGAAAGCAAAGAAAAAGTAGATGATGAGTTAAAAACGTTACAGAATAATTACTATGAGTTGCAAAAATCCCAGAGAACATCAGGGTTAAGTAGAGCGACAGCACAGATGACCAAAGAGTTTAACATTAAGAAATGTCGATTCGAAGATTTGAAAGCAAAGAATAGTCGTTTACTTAAGAGTCTTGAGAAAGGGAAACAGAAAATGGAAGATCTTGAAGTTGAAAAAAAGGAGCGAATTGTAAAGCACAAAGTTGAAAATCGCGAGATTATGAATGAAATGAAAAAAAAGAAAGGATCGAGTCAAAGAATTAGAAGATATGAAGATGGGCATTTTTGAGGGATTTGAGGTCGAGAAGAACATCATGTTTAAGGGATTTGAAACTGAAATGAACAATATGATTGCCGAACTTGAGGTTAGGGGACAAAGAATTGAAGAATTTGATGTCGAAAAGAACAAATGGGATTTAGAGAGAAAGAACTTCAATACCAGACTCGAAGTAGGGCAAGAGGTAGCCAATAATTGGGTGCAAAGATGTAGAACCAAGAATGTGCAAATCCAGAAGCTTAATAAAAGGACACAAGAAACAGGAACAAAACTTGAAGAGGATTTGGATCATTGTCGAAACAAAAAACACAGAATTTAATGCTTACATCGTGCAGCTTGAAGAATCATTATTCTAAGAGAAGGTTTGTCTAGGACCTAGTGATCTTAAAGAGAGTTATGAGGAGAATGCTTCACTATGAAGGCGAATCTGAGATCTTGAAAGTACTCTGCACAGTTGTCAAGTACGAATCACTGAGTTAGAGCAAACTCTCGATGGAACTAATGAACAATAGCAAAATTCTCTTGATTTCTATTAAGAAAGAAGTGAAGACAGAAGCAGCATGGTAGTCGAGGCCATGATACAAATGAGCGAAGTTGCCATGTATATCAAGGAGTTAGCTGTTGAAGCAAATGTTATCAAGCATCACGTCGATCCAGTTTCTAAGTTTGGAAAAAAGATGTCATGGCTGATCAATGAAATCATAGAGCTTAATAGGAAAGCTATGTCGTATCTGTAGTTATGAACTATTATT